AATAATAATACAGTAATCTCTAAATACAGTAAAATCTAAATGTTACTATCCTGCTTGTTCCACCCTTCATCAAGTATTTATTCGCCTTTTCTGTCGACAAAAAAAACTGTAAACAAAAAAAATCAAAAATATAAACAAATGTTGATGTAATTTATTTTGAATTTATAGTTGCAGGGAATTGCTGATGGAGTTATGCATCAAAGGCTCACTTACACAAGCATACACAAACTTATTAAACACAGAATCAGGAATATACACACGCACCACACAGCTAGATTGCCTGAACATACCATTCGCTGCAATTCACTGGAAAATGGAAATCATTTCTAATTCAAAAGTTAGATGTGTTTTGATATAGCGTGAATATGGAACCCCCTTACTTTATCCGATTAGGCTGGGTGTTTTGCATGGTTGGGATCACCGCAGGTTTCATACATATTGAAAAGGACAGCGTGCGGATGGTGATAAACACATACTCTATCTTAATGCACTGTGTGTTCCACTCATGTCTTGCAGATTGAGGTCAGCCATGTTGAAACATTTGGTTGCTAGCCTGCATTGTGATTTGGCAACTTGGATGGCTTTTTCATGTCATCTATAGACCTTTTGCTGATTAGTTCAAAAGCCCAGGCAAAACAAACACTGCTCTTTCTCAAACATTCAAAGGCATTTGATTTGACAGACTTTTTGCAATATAGGACTCACTTTAAAGGCAGGCAGGTGATAAATTACTGAAGAGTGTAACTCAGTATTCATCCAAGGTGTGTTCTCTCACTCTAACATACGACCAAATTCCATTAATAGCTTAAAATGTAAGAAAACGCCTATTGAATTAATCAGTTTGAGATTGGCAGCCAAGGAGATGGTGCCATCTAATTTCAGTGAGCGAGACGCTTATCGGGATCAGACTAAATGGACAATATTAAAACAGCAGCCGGGAATAATGACTTCTGCCACTCAGCAGCCACACGGGTTTGTATTGAATGTAGGCCACGAGGCTGAAGCAAGGCTGATAATTTTATGGGTTACAATTTCCTATTGGCTACAAGGAAGGGGCTCTGACACAGACCATGACCTATTTCTAAAAAATATGCTCCAGGCCGTATGTATAGATAGAATGGACTGTTATCCTTTTTTCTTAATTACATTTAGGAAGCTTTTATTCACTGCCTGCAAAAATACACGTAAAATACCTCTGTATTCTTTGACCCTTTATGGAAACCAAAATGAGCAGCTATAAAAGCAGTAGTGTAGTGATAGTTCCATCAACATTTTTGCAAGACTGTAGAAAGAAAAAAAACTTTGTTTGTTTCAGTTACTGCAAGTGTCTACTTCATCGGTTTCTTTATCAGTTTTCCTTCTTCTTTAGAAGAGGTTTGCAAGTTTGTTTTTGATGGAACAAGATAAGAAGGTATCTTTGTTTGTACTGAATCCTTCTGTTCCATTAAATTTAGTTTGATTGGATCCTTTAAAATAAATCACACATTCTGTAAATTGAGAAATACCATTTAAGCTACTTTTGACTACTCCTTTGTTCACTAAGGGTTTCCACAGTGGGTATCTCTGCATGTTTGATTGAGCAGTTTCACACTGAATGCCTTTCTTGATGCAACCCCAAAGGGATTTGTGTCACCTCCCATCTTTTGCTCGCTAGGCAAATGTGTAAACCACTACACTACGGAGCAACCAAAGTGAGAAAAACCTTTGGGTGAGATAATACTAACGTATACGTTAGAAAGACAAATCATTTGTGTTTTTTTCTCTGACCCTTTCATCCACTGACATCAACCCGTGAACCTTGTGCTTAAACAAAGACCTGCCATGAGCCTTGTCATCCAGATCACAACCTACATGGTAAAGAATTACATACTTAAATTCAGGCCTTTTCTACACCAAAGAAATTAGCCCGTTTTGAAGCTCGGAGATGCAAAGATGGTGAATTCCTCCAAGAGAGAAACCGCATAAATGAATGAGAAGCACAATTCAAGTGTAGGATTAAAATGAATGCATGCTATTCCTGTGTCTGAGGTCAAGATTCTACAAACATCCCACTCCCAAGAGCAATGGGGAATGATGCTGAGTTCAAAGCTCCGTACCAGCTTCTTGTGTAAATCCTTGCCTCCTTGATGTTGGTTTTATTTGAGAGTTGATTACCCTCTGACAGGCTAGAATCTCTGTGGAAGGGCACAAGGTCTGTTGGTTTTGATGGTCAGCCAAGACATTTGTTTACAGACATGGTGTTTCTTTTTAGGGGTTGGCTGCATGTGGCAAACGAAAAATAGCATTTTGGTGATGCGTACTCATGTGGAGGTATGAATCAATATGCCTTCTGCTGGGCAGAAAATTTTCTTGTGACTCAAGCCGGGCTCTCCAGATGCATCTGCAACCAGCACGTCCACTGTATCTGCCATCTTTGAAGCACAGCATTAACACTGAAGAACATCCCAGGATCCGACTCCCACACATTAATATTTGTGCAACCACGCAGACACCCAGCCAAACTCAGACATTTCTACACTCAGCTTGTGTCCACAAAATACTTCCCACTCACAGGCCAATTTGTTTGATTCCTTTTGCTGTTTCAATTGATGTATTAGACTTTTATAGAGCATCCAACCCAGCTGTCAGAATAAAAAGTTGGCCCTGTGCATTTCTGCAAGCTGCAGATCCACACAACGTCTGTATTCTGGAACCAAAAATAGGTTTCATATGAACTTTTCTAGGTATGTGTGAATAAAGGTGATGTTTCAAATGCTCTTGGAACTTTTGAAGGCATATACTGCAGTAACCTATGAAATAACAAACATATATATTTAATTATGCACCGCATTTTACATGGTTCTGCAACAGTGGAAACATTTTTTTGTTCACCATCCTCCAGCCTCCATTTCTCATAGGTGCACTTGTTTACAACCAGCGACCGTGATTTAATGAACGCAATTAATATTCTTAATAACAAACTAAGAAAAAATAAAGATTGGTTCTTGGTGGCAATGAAACAAGCAACATGTTCTCATACGTCAGTGGTAAAGCAGGTTAATTGACAGTGACTCCTAAATTGATATATATACGTGTTTGTAGAAATAACATAAATGAGTATTTTCACTCATTAGTTGCATTTGTGTTATAATGCTTCAGTAAAGTCTGATGATTTAAGGCATAAATCTGAGTAAAAAGTCTTTGTTGCTTTTGCAGCTTTGTCAGTAAAGGTTTCTAGGCTGCATCAGTCAGGCTCTTGTATTTCTCTGTGTGTTTAGTCTCATAATGGCAATTTAAAGTGTAATTCTTAAACACAGCAATGTGCTTGACAAAAACTAAGGACATAGCTTTACTGACTTCAGTAAATAAATACTTAGAAGTCCGTGGCCTGTCAAAAACTCCACATTCATTCTGCATCAGTCATTCTTTTTTTTTTTTTGCCGTGATCTGACATTTCTCATCACTGTCTGCTCCAGTACATTTACAGTGAAGCTATATCCCCTTGCAGACATGTATGTACATACATAGAGAAATCCTCTTCAAAATATTTCCAATAAAAAAGAGTGTTTAATTCAATTCAATTCAATTTTATTTATATAGCGCCAAATCACAACAAAAGTCGCCTCAAGTCGCCTCAAGGCGCTTCATGGGTGAAATAGTAAAAACAACATGATGCATGTATTTACATTTGAATCCGATTGACCAAACATGGGCTAGTCAGGGACAACCAAAGGGCCAGATGTGGCTTTACAATGGCTAGGTCTGTGGTGGGCAGTACAGTTACCGCTGTATACTTTATTGGTCATCATTCATCCCCTGTCATTGGGAAGTTCCCATTCCCTTCTGTGTTTCTTTAATATCTGCTGTATTTGCAGGCTAAGTACCCTCATATAGCAAGTCACCATTTTTTAAATCTCGTGCCACTGTCGGGCATATCCTCATGTGCTCAAAGAGCTTCTTATCAGTCTTGAGTTGCCACCAGAAATTAAAAAATTCTAATGCTAAAATGTAGATATGAAGCCATATTTTTTGTATCAGGACTGTAGTGCAGTATTTTATTACAAAAGGCTGTGTTTAGTCAAAAACGTCCTCTAAGATCTCCAGTCAGTCTGTTTTTGTTGCTCTGTCTTACATTTCTGAATCTTTTCTTTTTTCTCACCACACACCTTCCAGACTCCACAATGATGGTCGCATGCTGGATGTCTTTCAGCGACTCACCGCCAAGGAGGGGGTATACTTCCTGCCTCAAGACCTTGAGCTGTCCAATCAGGAACTGAGCTACATTGTCAAGAAAGCAGAGCAGTGGAGAGGGTTCAATGGAGAGAGGCGCAAGGTAAATACATTATTGGTCTCCTTTGCTGTCTCTAAATAAATTGCATTGTAATTAAACCAATAGTGACCTGTTGGGCTAATGATACTAGTCTTTTCAATTAACCTGGTCAAAGGGGAAGAATTAACTGTGTTTGTAACCAATAAGGTCTTCTGCCGTGGTGCAGGTGCTCAATGAAAGTGCTGAGCTGGGTGAGATCAGTGAGGCACTAACAGAAGCATTTAAAGGCAGCCAAGATAACACAGGGTTAGCATTCACTGGTCACTTTAAAGGAGATATTACATCCGAGAGGATGTATAGAATAGGTTCATTTTATATCATTAAATTTTCTTTAGTTACATTTGAGAAAGCTGAGAATTCATCTCAGAGGTCTTTAGCTCCGTTCTAATTAGTACAAGATAATTACCAAAACAGAAACTCAGCTAACAGGCAGCCTGATTAGTCTGTGGAAACCAATTTTCGAAGATATTTCATTAAAGAGAGACTGCTCAATCAACACACACAGTGGAATGCGTGTGTGAGATATAGTGGGCATTCCCTTATTGCGGACATTTCGAATTCATCTAAGGCAGCTGAAATAAATGCTCGTCCCCATGAAATTACTATCACGAGGGAGAGGATGACGCATGTGGCCCAGCTCCGTGTAGGTCGATGATGGTGGCACAGGAGAGGGCAGTGTATTAGCACAAAGCCTACCCCTGATGTAAAATCTTTGCATAGTGATTGAAAATGTGACTTGTTGAGATAAGGGAAATAGAATGCAGCGATCAAACTGCAGCCCCCTTTAATTTATTCTGTAGGGTATTTTAGTAGCACACTGCTCGCTACATGTTCTCCATGTTCATTAACTCCCTTGCTCTTTTCTCAAATAAGTATGTGAGGCAACGGGATGAGAAGCTGCAGTGGACTGCGGTGAAAGATGGTCTGCGTATTAGGAAGTGATGCATTATTTTGTCTAATTGTAGAACTAAAACGACATGGGCCAAACCAAAATGTAGTTTTTGAGGGTCGTAGCAGTTAATATCTGAACGACTGCACATCAAAGTCGCGTCAAACCGTGTCCTAACAAAGTTTAAACTACAAGCAGGACTGCATTCATTATGTTGCGTTCACAGTGCTGTGGAAAAGCGAATTTCGTTTCAATGAAAAAGGCAACATGAAGCTGCTATCTCATACCTGACACTTGTCGCCGTGTGACAGGTGTGACATGTGATAAAGCAAAGTTAAACATTCCTGAATTTCTTCAGGGCAGTAATAACAGGGTGAAACAGCAACCAACAGAGCCCCACAGGCAGAGACGGAACAAAACTTCAGCGGTGAACGATGCAACAAAGTGAGCTTGTTGCCGGTTGTGTCAACATGGCATTAGAACTTGTGTCTCCCTCTCAATGATGCAATGTTTTGTTGGGGTTTTTTTAATCTGTATTTACACTTTATTTTGAAACAAAAGACAGGACGTGCAACAGGAAGCAGCAGACATGAAGACAAAACAGTATGCAAAATCTAGTTTTCCTAAACAAAGTATTTAACTATGTCGATTGTGACGTGCCAGACACAGGGGAATGGATACCTTTGAAAAGCTGGATTCTTCTTGATAGAAAATTGTACAAAAACTCAGCTACAAAAGTGAGAGAAACAGAGGAATACATTTTGCATCAGCAGGACCTAAAAAATACACTTTTTAAACGGATTTACACTACATTGCTAAACTAGATGGTATAATTGTAATCGTGTAAATGCTATTCTTTTTCTAAAGTCTTTTTTTTGTTGTTGTTTATTGGTCTTCATGCCTTAATGAAATGCAACCCCTGTTCTGAGAGGTGACTACACCGCCATTAATGGGATGGTGATGGACCTGTTTATTGGAAGAAAATTGAGCCTTCCGTTGTTTGGAGACTTTAAAAGAAATTACATCCCCAAAGTTTGTGATTAAGAAAATGCCTCATTTAGCAGCTGATGGCCTCTTGCTGTGGTGCACTGCTAAATCATCTTTGCATTACTGCATATCCCCCTCCATGGTAACAATTACAGCATACTTCATATTATACCTAATTTGATGTTATTAAACTGATAAAATGCTAACACGTTAACACGTTCTCTGGTATGATGAAAATTTAGGGTTATTGCATTTTAACATTTTTACATTATTCAAGCAGACCATTTTTCATCAAAATAAGATGGGCCTTACCATTATTTCATAATTATTGTAACAGTTTCTCCTATGAAAAGGGTCACTTTCCTAACTCAGCAAAGACATATCCCTATTAGACTAATTTGACTACATGCAAATTTTTGTCATTTTTCCCTCATTAACTATTTATCATAGACAGGGAAAAAATATATTCATGAAAGCGAGCAAAGGAGCAGCCCAAAAGAGCTGAAACTAATATTTTGCAACTCTAATGATTTTTTGCATCCTTAATTAGATAGAATAAGGTTGATATGATTAGGTCAGGATGTAGTGTTTTTCATTAAAAATACATTTCAGAAGCTGTATTCCAAATGTGCCCTTGCAATTAAATAATGAATCTGACGCATTCCTTATTATGGACCCAATTAATATCAGAGGCAAGGGCGTAATTTTAATAACAGTGGGCTACGAGACCTTCATTAGCTGAGCGAGAGAAAGGAGGGATGAGGGGAAGGAAAAACAAGGTACTCATAGGAACATCAAGAGTTTGTAACCAAATTTAAAACGTTATTGAAAAAGATAGAGTGAGATATTTTGAACAAATCTGATCTCAGGCTATCGGGATCTGCAAGTAGCCCATGTTTGTTTTAACTACATATGTACTTTTGGATATTTTTATAGTCTTAGATCCTCTTCTAACCCTGTAGAGGTGTTGAGACTGGACCAAAGCTGAAAGAAGCTTTAGCCGTAAAAGGGAAAAGAACGATTATTGCTTTTTATTTTTAACATCGCACCTCTACTGAAATGTGGTCACCTTTGAAAAGCCACTTCCCCTTTTTCCCTCCCCCCCCCGGAAAGCAGGCAATGCATTCATCAGACAGCCACCACCACACACTTGACCTTTGTGTGGTCCATGTGCAAAAGGGCTCAGTGCTCACACAGTGTCAGCGTCATCATGGATATACCTCCAGATTCTTCTCAGCCCGGGGAAAACTTCTCTTCCCATCCATACTTAAGTAAATACATGAAACAACTCTGCTGATTAGGATTCCTCCTAAACAGCTAGCTGGTATCCATCTAGGCTAAAATCATGTTAAACAGTGTGTAAATATGAAAGTTTTGTAACTGCACATATTCTGGCTGCCTAACTGTCATGTAGCACAGAAGCTCACCTGCTAAAAGAAAGCCTCTTTAACCCTCACTGAAATACAAAGAGGCTTCATAATAATGGGAAAAAACATGGTGCTATATCTAGTCTTTAGCCATGTCATCAAGCATGATGTGTGCACTTTAAATGTGCATGTTACACAGTCACAGTTGTTGTCAATGTTATACTGTATCATCACAGAGTTGGTTAGCATGGGTGAACGTTGGTGAGCCGGAGCCTTCATTGTGGGCATTAGCAGAGTTTTGGGTTCTCTCTTTTTTGCCATATTTTTCAGGTAACCTATATTTGACAACAGCAAAATAAAATTAGAAATTCTGTTTTTGTTGTGCCAACACAATACTTTTATTGGCCCTCATATGGCAAGATTTTGGTGGCATCCCTGTTCCTTACTACCCGTAATGTAGTTGTTTCTGTCCTGGATGCTCTTTTCACTTCACCATTGACCTCTCATCCTTTTGTGCAAGTAAAAGTAATGTCCGCATCTGTTCAATTCAATTCAATTTTATTTATATAGCGCCAAATCACAACAAAAGTCGCCTCAAGGCGCTTCATAGATACAGAGAAAAACCCAACAAACATATGACCCCCTATGAGCAGCACTTTGGCGACAGTGGGAAGGAAAAACTCCCTTTTAACAGGAAGAAACCTCCAGCAGAACCAGGCTCAGGGAGGGGCGGCCATCTGCTGCGACTGGTTGGGGCGAGAGAAGGAAGACAGGATAAAGACATGCTGTGGAAGAGAGACAGAGATTAATAACAGATATGATTCAATGCAGAGAGATCTGTTAACACATAGTGAGTGAGAAAGGTGACTGGAAAGGAAAAACTCAATGCATCATGGGAATCCTCCGGCAGCCTACGTCTATTGCAGCATAGCTAAGGGAGGATTCAGGGTCACCTGGTCCAGCCCTAACTATATGCTTTAGCAAAAAGGAAAGTTTTAAGCCTAATCTTAAAAGTAGAGATAGTGTCTGTCTCCCGAATCCAAACTGGAAGCTGGTTCCACAGAAGAGGGACCTGAAAACTGAAGGCTCTCCCTCCCATTCTACTTTTAAATACTCTAGGAACAGACCGCGCCACCGTTTTCTTCAGCCTTCAACCTGCAAGTTTTCTTTTTTCTCTCTAACTACTATTGAAATCACTGACAACCTTTGAAATTAAATATTTGTAACTGTAATTGGATTAAAGTAACACATTCGTTTGTAGCACGTTACGACATTAGCAGTGAATAGCTGTAGCCTAGGCATGGGTTCCACTTTACCCCCACTTTCTTTTCCTTTTGAGCAATAAAGGTTGGGCTTATACTTACATCTCCACTCCTTAAAAGTTGTAGAACCACCTATTTTTCTATTTTGGAGATTTCTACGGACAATCATTTACAAATTTCTGAAATGTATGTCGGCACCTGTTCTAGAAGCTATATTGCTGAGACTTCTCCATTATTTTTAAACACATACAAATCATGAACTGATTTACCATGTAACACCTTGAAGCAAGGACTTTACAGATTGTGCAATGCTAATAATGGAGCCACCAATCAGTGCTCCAAACCCTAAAGTAAAAAACAGTCCAGATAAACTTCAGGGGCATAAAAATTAGCCCTGCAACAGGTGGCAATTTCTCCAAAAATCTCCAAACAACAGACCTGCCATGTGCAACATGAAGTCATACCAAAACTGAATTTTATTTTTTTTCCACTGTTTCT